ACGTGGAATATTATCATAGTGGGGGAGGATTGTTTCTGGCGAAGCAATCTTCTAGTTGGAAGCAATTATAGGCGTAGCAGTTTTCAAGCGGGATGGCATTCTCTAGCTTGTAGGAGGTCATCAAAACAATAGGTTACTTTCAGAGACGTGTGCTCGACGGTGCAAGATACGCGTTTCTTAACTCTTTTATCTGTTTAACTAACGCTAGTTTTGCAGGTATCGGCGTTACAAGAGTGATTTAGGATCGCAGAACGTTCTGAATCATTCTCCGTCCCTATCGCTACTTTGACTTTCGTTTTCGAAACTTGTGGTTCTCCAAACTCAGTCAAAGTGGGGGCTTCTGTAGACACCCATTTATGTCTCCCCAAAACCAAACCCAGTGATGAGTACCTTTCACGTCGAATCATAATCGAATGAAACGAAAGTGTGGAAAGGTCTAGTTTGCGGAAATTTTTAATTTCTTTTCTCTTCTCTCTGTTTTTGAAAACTTATTTTAAGAAAACAGCCAATCCAGTTTGGTTGGTCTATGATATGGGTCCAATAGTAGTGTAGTTGGAAGGTGCTTGCAAAGACCTTTCTAACTATATATTATAAGCCCAATTCTGATGAATATTGAGGAAGTTATGACCAATTTACCAAACTGGGCCCGGTTTGAGCTTTATGTACGGCCCAATGTTCTAGGGGAGGGCCTAATATGATTTATCATTCCTAATGCAATTAGGAATGGTTTTAGTCTTCTAGATTCTTCTAGAAGGTTCTTTTCATTCCTAATTCAATTAGCATTGATAAATTGACTTTTGTTGACTTTTCAAAGTTTTAATCAAAATCAAATAGCATTTTCGAAGAAATTATATTATTTTATCCTCCAATACGGTAAACTTATCGGATTTTCGAAAACGCGTTGGAATCAGGCTTGGCGCCTCACCCCAGGCCTTGGCGCCTGGAACCAGGCCTGGCGCTAGCCACTGGCGCCTGGCGCTAGTATTGGTGCCTGGCGCCAGCTAGCCAGGGTTGGCGCCAGCTCTGTTTTCTGAGCGTCAGACTCTGTTTTGTTAATTTATCTTTTTTGGCTGATTTTCTCTATAAATATCGTATTAAAAACCACCATTCATCACCAATTATCATCATCTACATTCATTCACCAATTGAAATCATTCATCTCTCTTAAAACATTCTTTCTTTCTAAACTTTGCTTTTTCATACAAAATTCCGCATTCACAAGATCTAGAAACACCTAGCCATATTCGAAGTTGCCTTCGCTCTAGACGTGAAAGGTTTTAATTTCTGAGGGTTTGGTCCCAAATCTCTATTTCAATTATTTAATTTAATTGTTTTGGTTTATTATTTTCCTTGAAGTTACTAACGTGTGTATTTTGTTATTAGAAAGAGGTACGAGGCATCGAAGTAAGTACTTTAATTGATTAATTGATATTATGATGTAGAAATCATGTTTACATTGTTGTTATGATATTCCTAGTATCATGTCTAGGGTAATTTTAATATTAAATATGATTCCTGCGATGCTTTTTATTCTCTTCCTAATATTTGTGATTGTTAGTATCATGTTAGGGATAAAGATTTGATTCTTATTGCTTAGTGACATGCTAGGGTTTGTTATTAATCTTGTTAGTATCATGCCTAGGATCTTGCTATTTTTATTATGCTTCAATATGAACATGATCATGAATATTATTATTGTTATTTTGATTATGATTATTATTGTTATGATTATAATTTCATTGTCATGATAATGATTATTTATTATGTTGCTTGATATTTTATTGCTTGATCACGCTTTTATGCATGTTAAAGGGAATCTATACTTGTAATCACGCTTAATAAAATATTTAATAATCTTGTTAGGGTTAATATGATTATAATTTCAAGTGATCGCCAATAATAGATTTATTTGTGCATTAAATTCAACCAACATAGATAAACAGGTTTAGGGTTAATCCTATTGATTGCATGTTAATTAAAAAGCGCACATGAATACGAGCAAAATAAAGTAGAGGCCTATTATTAGGGCAGGTTCAATCTCTTTTAGGTTGGATTTGTACCTTTATCCTCGAACCCTTATTTGGTTCTAGACCTTATGGAGTTGACGATCTCCTGGATCGTTAAGGGGTGTAACCTTCACCTCGTGAACGGTTTACAAGTTCCTAAAAAAACTTGTTGGCGACTCTTTTGCTCTATCTTCTTCCCTTTTGAACGCCACCGTACTTTAGTGTATGATCACAGTGGGGTTCAAGCTAGTGGGATTAAAGGCTTGAAATTATTCCCTACCCTTTGAACACCAAAGTGTCACTACCAAGCTCCTCCATTTATCTTCACCATCTCCTTCACCTAAAAGCGTCAGAGCACCACCATATCCCTTCCCTTTCTCCGGCCCTATCCATAACTTGCGGCAGAGCACCACCAAGCCACACCCACCAACCACCTCAAATCACTTCCCTTCATCACCACACAAATGACATCACTCCTTCCTCCACCACAATTTGCATCCACCAAACACTATCTCCCAACTCCATCGCAACCACCTTCAACCTCACCTCTAACTCTCTGAGCAACCTTTCTCCTTTATAATTCTTGTTATTGATGTTGTTAGACTCCTTCTCTTTCCTCCTCCACCCGAAATACCACCACAATAATTCCCTCGCAACAAATTGACTATCAACACCCCTTTTATGATGGTGATTTTAGGTGGTTTTTAGGCTACTTAGAGTGTATTTCGAGGTGAGGAGGTTTGGTTTCTAGTGGTTGTTGGGTTAAATGGCTTGAAAAGTAGATGGAGTTTTGTAGACAGTGGTTGAGGCGGATTATAGTTAGGGCATATTGGGGCCTGGCCCCTTGTACTTTTGGGGAAAATTGTAGTACATGTAGAGTAATAAAAGACTTATAAAGCAAGCTTAATTAATCCATTAAGTAAAAAAAACATGTAAAAGCCCAATATAAATTACAAATATCTAAATTCTTATTTATTTCTCACTAGAAAACTCAATCCCATTTTCCAATAAAAGCTTGACACTCTTCCCTTTTTACTTCTTACTATGCTCACTAGTCACAGAATATTTTTGTCCACTTATCCCAAATTTTCATTCAAGTGATTTAATTATCAATTATCATCAGCTAATCAATTCTGTATAGTTTAATCAATTTGGTTTAAAGTTTTTTTTTTTCAACATTGTTTCAATTCATGTTATTTTTATTATTGTATGAAATTGCAACAAGATTGGTATACTAGTCTAGTAATTTGCACACTTAAAAAGTTAAAAAGAAATTCGATAATTGTACGTTATTAATCAATATCTAACATAAAGGTATATAGTTTTGTATTGTTTGTATGTCTTTTTTTTCGTAATATATAACATTTGACGATTTCTTTAATTGTTTCATTACTTATGAATCGTGACACATTGATGGTTAATAAATTAAGTTACTAATGATTAATGAATGTATGAACCTACGACAGATTCATTGGATTGTTTTTTATATGTTATTATGTTGATAGTTACTGGCCTCCGAAAGAAAAACTTTCAAGATCCGCCACTGGTTGGAAATGAGGTGGATGGTTGTTAGTAGGTGGTTTGGAAGTTGGTGCATGGAGGAGGAAATAAAGGGGAGGGAGGGTTATAAATTAACAACTAGCGGAAAAGGGGAGGAGAGGGTAAGTAGGAGTTTTTGAATAATTAAATTAAAGTCATTATTATAAAAAGGATATTTTTAAAAATTAAAATAAAAAATACCAACTAATCGCAATGTGTCGCGTGTCATGGTTAAATTATTAAATCGATCTGTTACTCGTATCTTTATCCTATTTTGAGTAGATGCCTCTTAAAGGTTTTATTTTTGGAAGACTAGTCTAGGGTTGTATTATTCTTGAAAAATTTTCCTTTAATAAAAACTTATAACAACGGGTCATGTTTGGGTTAGGTTTGCAAATATACGTGGTTAATGTGTTCGGGTTAAATCGAATTTCTGGTTAAATTTTTTTTTCAAAACATACAAAAAAAGCCGGGTAAAAAATAATTGATCTACATAATATGCATTTATTTAAACCCACAAAACGAGTCGAATAAAATTTGTTATTAATTCAGATTAATTAAAAAAGGTTAGAAATGTCTAGCAAAACAACAAAAGTAATTCCGGGAGGATACTTGTAACACCCCCAAATTACTCTCCAATAATTATTATTATAAAACATGATTTAGAGAGTAACTTGAGGATATTACCGCCACGTGATTACGTAAGGCTTAACAGGTACTTGCAGCGGAAGAAAAGTACTTATCATTTATTAATAATAATAATAATAATTTTGATACACTTCCGAAGTAACTAAAACACTAATACTATGTTTACTTTAATTAAACTAGGTGATCACCGCCCATCGTTCCCAATGCAGCATATAATTCACGTCGTTTGGTCATCATCACCTATCTACTTATCATTAATAATAAGTAGGGTCAAGCCAAAACAAAAGAGAAATATGTATTAGCCAAAATGCTAAGTACATACAAATGCTAGACATGTAAAGTCAATTTAGTTAATTAAACATGCTTTCGAAAGATCCAACTTTAATAAATCATCATTTATTGAAACCACTAAAAATCCCACAATCGACATCTTTCAAAGATAGTTCCGAATAAATAGAGTATGGTTCCAAACCTCATTTTCGTAAATCATTTTTCCACCTAAGTGTGCACACCCCCCAAACTAGTAACTCCTTACATAGTGCTATCAAGGGGAAATACTAGGTCATACATAGTCCATTGTCTTCAATTATCTACACATAGTGGGAGTCATATTTCCAATCCAATTAATAAATCCGATAGATAATCCTTCCAATATCCCATACTCGGGATGATTTAAACAATAAAATTTCCTTTTAAACATCTTGAATATCAATACAAGTTTATAATCAACCATCACTAGTAGAAAATTACAAAAAGGCACCGAACTATGCCCACCGATTTTTAAAAACTGGTGGGGAAAAAATGGGCGGGATTTAAGTGAAATGATAAAGCCACCCGTTCAAACCGAACCGGTGGGGAAAATATTAATCCCACCGGTTTTGAACCGGTGGCAACGTTAAAAAAAAAAACCGCTCTTTTATAAACCCTAAGCAAGCCTCTCCTCTCTCCCTTTACTCTCCTGCCTCTTTATCTCTCCTCTCAACTCGCCTCTCCCCTCTTTCTCTCTCCTCTCAGCTCGCCTCTCCTGCCTCCTTCTCTCTCCTAATCTCTTCTTTCTACTCCTTCTCATCTCCTTCCTAAGCCCTCCTCAAAGGCCTCCACACAATGAAGCCGCCCTCCACCGCACTTCGAGCTCGTCCCTTCTTCTCTCCCTCGATCTACTTCTCTTTCCCCTCAAAGCCCACCACCGCCACCGCCACTAACCACCGCCACGAAGACCGATCATTTTTCACACTTTCATGGTTTTGTATGGTCGAATAATGAAGGTATGTGTCTTTTTTTTTTTAATTTTTTCTGGTTTCTGGGTTTAATTATATGAGGTTAGGGTTTCTGGGTTTAATTTTTCATGTTAAATGCCTTGATTTTTTTTTTGGGTTTTTTAGCCGATTTTTCTTGGTTTAATTGATTTTGAAATTGTCATGATTTTTTTGCTTTTTTTTAGCCGATTTTCTGGGTTTTTGGTTTAATTGATTGTTCTATTTTACTTGATTTTCTAGTAGATGTTATTGTATTTCGGATTTTTTTTTCAATTAATTTCGGACCAATTTCTGGGTTTTTTTTGGAATCTTCTGGGTGTAATTGATTTTCGAATGGTTGGGTTTAACCGTTTAATTGATTTTTTTAAAAATTAATTTATTGTGGGTTTTTATTTATTTTGGTGTCCAAATTTGATGCAGGTTCACAGAGCAAAAGGATTCAAGCAAAAGGATTCAAGATGTTGATTTTGGAAATTCGATTTTGCAATTTTTTTTTTTTGAAATTGTAAAATACTGCAATAATTCATTTGATGAATATATCGTTGTCTCACAATTTTAAGTGAAAAAGCATATTATTGGCATTTATTTGATGAATATATCGTTGATGAATATATTATTGCAGTTTTTTAATATCGTTGTCTGACATTTTAAAGTGAAAATAGAAAAAAAAAATTGGACACTTTTAACTGGTGCCAAAAGTAATGAATTTATTTTTTTGAAAAAAGTGGGTGTCTATTATTAACCGGTGGCAATGTATGTTATTGCCACCGTTTTTGAACCGATGACTTTTTATACAAGTATTGCCACCCCCAAATGCCCAACGGTTCAAAACCGGTGGCATTTAGGGGTTTTGAACCGGTGGCAATCACCTTTTTTCTACTAGTGCATATAAAACATATAAATATTTAAGACCAAACAATTAAAAACATGTTTCACTAAAATACATTTCAAAATCACAATCATTTAAACATGGTTCGAAATCACTTAACATGTAAATCACGTAAGTCACTTTATAAAAGATCTAGCCACGTGTATGTACCTTGATCTTGCACACAAGTACGAAACTCCTACTTTTGAATCCGAAATTCCTCCTATAACAAAACAACAGTTCTAATCAAATATTTTTCAACCCATAGACACAAGGACTTAAAAATTAAAATACCGACTTTACTAGTTGTGCGTGAACAATTGATTAATTTGACCCTTTTATAGTTTAATAGTTACTTTTTGTAAATCGATCTTTAATAAACCATTAGAGGCAATACTGATAATAATTGTGGTGACTTGGAGTATTAAACCTGGGCACGGGCCGGGTTGGCCCGCGTGCCGCCCGGCACGGCCCGAATTCAAGCACGGCACGGCCCGAAGTTCAACTTCCGTGCCACGGGCCGTGCCACGGACAGGGTTGAGAATTTCCAGGCACGGCCCGGCACGAGCACGGCCATGGCCCGCCGTGCTGGCCCGTCGTGCCGGCCCGCAGGCACGGCCCGCGGGCCAACGGTAATGTTACACGGTAAATTCATATTAAAATAAAATAAAATTATACCAATTACTAATAAATCATAAACATTAAATTTTAAAGTAATAGTATAAAGTAAATATATAAATATAAATATTGAATATACAAATTATAAAACATAAATATTAAACTTATAATTATAAAATTCATAACTTAATAACTTATAACTTATAAGTTATAAACTTATAAGTTATAACCTTATAAAACTTATAATTATAATTTTATAACTTATATACATTATAAACTTATTAATTTATAATGTTGTCATATAAAAAAAAAAAAATAAAATAAAATTGAAAACTGCACCAGCCCGCAGGCCGGCACGTGGCCGGCACGGCACGAGCCCGCCAGGCACGAGGGTCGTGTCGTGCCGTGGGCTGGCCTGTGAAAATGGCCGGCACGGCACGACACGAAAACCTGGGCCCGCCGGCACGACCGGCACGGCACGAACCAGCCCGTGGCCCGACAGGCACGGCCCGCGGCGGCACGGCCCGGCACGGTGCCCAGGTTTATGGAGTATGTTGTACGAGTAGGATATAGTAGTAGTAGTGATATGTAGTAGCTAGTAGTCATAATAATAATAATAATAATAATAATAATAATAATAATAATAATAACGGTTTTGTTATTCATAGCCCTAAGGGCTATGCATAAAAACTAGCAAATTCCTCCAATTAATGGTATATATCTTATTCCAATGGAATCTATGACAAACTTAATATTAATAATTAGACCATCATTCAATTCTTATTAAATTGTATTTATTAAAATATTATTTCCTACCCACTTATTAGTTATACACATTATTTTAGGAAATAAAATACGTTCATTGTACTGCAATTCTGTAAATCATCTAGAAAGCAATTTTTTTTTTTTATAAAGGGAAAAATAAAAAAAAGAGCACACGATTATTTTAACGACTTTGATTTCACTGGAATTGGTGTAAGTATGGCAGTCATAATATTACAAATTCGTCCTTGAACAATTTCTTGTACAGCAATATCAATCTAAAATTTTCAAAAGTAAAAAGATTAACTACATGATTTAAGAAATTTTACAATTAAAATAGTAAAATATATTTCAAGAAGTTAGTAGACAATATCACCAAGTCAATTAGGATTTGTATCCTTCTTTTTTACTCCAAATACGTAAGAGTGGGTTATAATGTTAGGGTAGAATTACAAGTATTAAAACAACTAGCATGATCGTAATTTACTTCATTTAAAAAAAAAACAATTCATCAAACCAGTATACATTACTTCATTAACAGGAAAAAAAGAAAAAAAAAAAGACAATTTATCAAACAGGTTGTGGGCAATAAGATTATCACAATGCAAAATATTTTCACAATACTGATGGTGATGAATTGATGATCAATTACTCATTAAAACAAAATATTCATCTCATAAAAGACAAAAAGACATACCTTTTAGAATAAAAAATAATTCATAAGACTCTTGCTAACTTTTTTTTTTCCCACTAGTATAGATAGAAAAGATGTAAAATGACGAAGAGGAAATGTTGTAAGATGATTTGATGGAGACTTCAGTTTTTTTTTTTTTTTCCTCGTATATTTTTATGGTATAAGTAAGATGAAAAATCTGATTCTAATTTAGGCACCAAGCGTTAGTTTCATAGGGAATTAACATATTTGTGTGCATATGTGCTATTTATTGACTTGTTGTTTTTTTTATTATTCCCCATAAATATTAAACATGTACACTATTATTTTTATTGAAAATATAAGAGAATCTAGACATGTATTAATGGTTATACATAGCCCTTAGGGCTATGTTTAACATTTGCCTAATAATAATAATATTATTATTATTATTAACAATAATAATAATAATAATAATAATCAATAAGTAATAAATAATAAGTAATAAATAATAATAACAATAATAATAATCATCAATAAATAATATTATTATTAATAATAATATATACATTTGTATATACACATATGTATAGTAATAAATAATCAATAAATAACAAACAAACTAGCCGTTATTAGTGTTCAACGACTAGTTTTTTTGAAAATATTACCGTTTTCAAAAAATGGGTAAATGGTGAAATAACTTTTAAAACATGGTATATGGTGAAAAAACTTTTACATAAAATGGTACATGGTGAAATGGTAAATTGCCCCAAACGGCTCACTAACGACAGTTAGCCAAAAAGGCATTTCATGTTAATATACAATAATTGAATGGTATTTGGTGTATTAGAAAGTTTTTGGTGGTATACGGTGAATTAAGCTTAAACTCAGTAGTATATGGTGAAAATTCCGTAATAATAATAATAATAATAATAATAATAATAATAATAATAATAATAATAATAATAATAATAATTGTAGATAGTATACGTAAGCAGTAGTAGTACCTAGTATAGTAGTATGTTAGTAGCAATATCACTAAAAAAATTATAATACAAGTATAATCATAGTAATAATAATAGTGATAATAAAGTAATTTAAGGACCCAAATATATGAATTACAGTTCTATTATTAGGCCATGATTAAGTAGAAAGTCCAACTTACTATTTAGTGTTTATCAAAGAACAAAGACCACTTTGGTCTCTTAGTTGAAGTAGGAGTACGAAAGAAATAACAAGGGAGGAAGGAGGAGGTGTGGTGGTGCGTGCAGCAGCCCGCAGGGAGGGTGGCGGTGGAGGTGCGGCGCGGTTGGGCCGGGCCGAGGTGGACGAATAGGAAGGGAAAGGAGTTTGTGGTTTCTTTACTAATTTGAGATGAAATTGGGGATAAAACTTACACCATTTACAGGCAAATTTGATTGAAAATTTTGGTTAAAACTCAATCTTAGTGAATGATTATGATGATGCTACATATGGTGGGAGGAGGATTGAGGTAATTGTAATGGTGTTTCACCTTATTTTTTGACACTTAGAGTAAGGAGGGTGGTGAAAGATGTGTATTGGAGGGGAGGTGTAAATGGTAAAGTTGTGAGGGAGAAGCTTCCATGAAGGTATATGGTGAATGGAGGAGATGATACTTACATATCATAAGGAGGAAGATGGGATTTTGTTTTTATTATTATAATAATAATGATAGTATTGGAGTAGAATGTTAATAGGTAGGTTGACATACTATTTTTGTGTAGTACTTGTGTACTACACATATGAATTGAGCTTGTGACAAAAAAATAAATTTTGTATTTGTCGTCTGAATCAGGTACAAAGTATTAATGGTTAAAATCTGATTTTTGGGTACGACAAATTTTGACTTGAATCGTATAAAATTAAAAATCGTTTTCGCAAAATCATATAGATATTTTTGTATAATAATAAAATATTTCGGAAAAATTCATATTTAATAATAAATGAGTGGCTTAAAAATACGGGTATTACAATACTCCTCAATCCAGACTCTCAAATCCTCATATTCTCTACTAACATGGGCAAGTTTTTAGGAAACACATTCCCACTTCTACAGACTAGCGAGAAAGCAATTAAAAAACACATTTTAGCTAGAAGGCTAAAGTTAAACACTTCTCAATGGCAGAACTTTAGTGGGCCTACTGGGGTCTGGTCCCTAGTACAACCCAAAAAAGAAATTAGTCCATAAAGTCCAATTCAAAAATAAAGTCCAAAGCATGGAGTATTGCCTATTGTTTTCTCTGTTGCACTTTTCAATGTTTCTTACATTTTTTTCTTAATCGAAAAAAATACTGCGAACCCCACGGACCCATGTCTCACATTCTCAATTTTTTTTACTGTTTCGGTTAAGATCAAACACATTTTTAATAATTAATTTATTTATTTGGACAAAAATGTAGGCACGATATATATTGTAAATGAATAGTTGAATTGCATTTCCATAAATTTACCCTCAATATATCTATCATCATTTGGTATTCACCGATATGTTGATTTTAGTAATGTTTGATATTTAGTTAAAGCAGATAATTTGGATTTTGTTTTGGAGAATTTGTCAGGAAAAACCTAATAAAAGACACTTTTTGTCAGGAAAAACCTAATAAAGCGTTTTTGGCTCAAAAAAACCTAATAAATTTTTTTTTTGTTCAAGAAAACCAGACTCCCTATTCCGATGTTGACTGAATGTTTTCCGGCGTTGACTGTTACATGTGCCATGCACATGACCCTAAATTGACTATTTTACCCTCATTTGTTATTGACCCCTTTCCCTAATAACTTTTCTACCCAAATTAAATTCCCCCCTTTTTTATTCACTGTCTTCATCTCTCTCCATGCAAAAATTTCAAGAACTAACCTTGCTGCTCAGACGTTCTTCAATGGAGAGAGATGAAGACAGTGAATAAAAAAGGGGGGAATTTAATTTGGGTAGAAAAGTTATTAGGGAAAGGGGTAAATAACAAATGAGGGTAAAATAGTCAATTTAGGGTCATGTGCATGGCACATGTAACGGTCAACGCCGGAAAACGTTCAGTCAACGTCGGAATAGGGAGTCTGGTTTTCTTGAACAAAAAAAAAATTTTATTAGGTTTTTTTGAGCCAAAAACGCTTTATAAGGTTTTTCCTGACAAAAAGTGTCTTTTATTAGGTTTTTCCTGACAAATTTTCCTTTTGTTTTTATCGTTACTTTTTTAATTTGACAAAACTTTTTAATCACAATTTTAGATAACAATGTAAATGATACTATATCACCTCTCCATATAAACAATTTTAAAAGATATTTTGTTTTGATTTATTTCGTACTCCATAATAAACCTCAGATCAAGAATTTATGTCATAAGTTTAAATACGTTTGGCCCTTAAAAGAAAATTACTCAAGATCTGCCACTGTTGTTTCCCATGCTTTAAGTAGGTGAATGTTTGGTATTTCCAAAATTTGAGGGTTCCTTATTTTACATTTTTAGCAAAGGTAATATTAGCCAACTAAGTGAAATCGTGTTTATTTCTATTTAGAAGAGAAACTATTACACATATATCTTAGAATTTATTCTGGTTCTATTTAGAAAACAAAATAATATAGAAGAAATTTTCCTTTGTGAGTTATGCATTAAGAAATAGGTCACAAAAGGGTTTATCCCCCAAGTAGTATATAAGATAAAACAAATCTATAACATCTATAATCTATAATATTATTAAAACACAAGGGTTTAACATGTTGACGACATGTGTTATACTTTGTCATCATAAAATTTATGACATAGCGCTACATAGATAATGACATGACAACGCATTAGTATTTGGATTAGATTTGAACCATTACTTCCGTTGAAATTTTCAACTTTTATTACCACTATTCCATAATTAATATCACTTTATTACTTAATTAGGTTAGTCATGTGCGATGCACGATTTTAGCAATAAAATATTTGATCATACATATTAGATGACTTAATGTTATATACTTTATTTAAATTCATAATTAAAATAAGGAAAAAAGATATATGCAGCCATAAGGGCTGCATATAAAAAGCTAAAAATGGAAAGAATTGACAATAAATAAACATTTATTACACCAATTTACTTGTGAATTGTCGATAAATTCCTAACTTAATACTAAAAAAGGAAGTATATTAAATGCTTATATAAGGGCTGCATATAGCATTATCCTTAAAATAAATATTTAAAAAATGCTAGCAGTAGTGTTAAATGGTTTTTGCTTCATTTAAAAAAAAAAAATTCAAGATAAGGAGTAGAAAATTCAAACTCGTGAAAATGAAAGAGTCTACCACCATTTAATTTATTTTTTCTTACCTCTATAAGAATGTGTTGTTAGTCAATTTAATAAAAAAAATTAAGTTAACATCAAAATGAAAAAAAGGATGATGTCACATTATTGTCACTTATACTTTTGGTGGGAATTTTTTTAATAAGAAGTTGACACATAGATAATGGTGATGTCAACGATAATTACTTTAGAATTAGTTACTAAATTAGGCTCGTGCGATACACAATTTTAACATTATTTTACGATTTTAACAATATTTTTTAGCTTATATGTGTGTAATAGGTATGTAGTACAAATAATTTAAGCAAAATCTAATCAATTGAGAAATTAATAAAGCGTGAAAACCCTAATTCATATAATCTGTATAAAATATACTGAGTAGGAGAAAAGGATAATGTTTGTAAGAAAATAAAATTGTCCGACCTTCCTTTAATTTCTCCAATGAAAATTGCATAATTAGTCAATTTAAATATAGAATCTGTTAAGAAAATGTATTAATAATTTACCATTTTCCATTTTTTTTATGTTGAAAAAAATAATGATGTCAATATTAGTTTTGGTGGGAAATTTTTTTATAAAAGGTTGACATATGAAAAGTAATGATATCAACTGTAATTTCTTTAGTTATATTTATAGATAAATAGATTAACATTCATACATGAATTGTAACTTTTTATTAAGGATTCTAAAAGTTTTTAAGCGTTATATACAATTCCCTAGTTCATTGTGAAACAAAAACTATTGCATCTCTCTTTTTATCCCCAACTAACTTTATCATTTTTATTTTATTATTTAAATTTAAGATATTGATTCCAACATATGTAGTATTATTTAAACTCAAAATAAATTTTTCATTTTGTATTTAAACATAATCCGGACATTGCCCGGTCCCCAAACTAGTTATATATTAAAACTCAAGGGACAACATGCTGCCACCATGTGTCACCGTTCCTTCCATATGAGTTGTCACCACATGTCACGTGAGCACAATGTGTCACGTGATGTCATCATTCATTACTGTAAAACTCTTCGTATGTGTAACTTTTGTACTTACTATTTCCATATAATGTAACATCTAAATAATTGCACATTTAATCACACACCATGGTTCTTGATTTCTTGGATGCTAATTTTCTAGATTTAATACAAAGTAATCCATAATAATTACACAAGTTATTATAATATTTTTTTTACAAAAAGTTCTTATTAAATTATGTAAAGTAAAATGATTAAAACTAGCACTCATTAATCGTAAATATTTTCCTTATATTTTTATTCACTTATAATATAGTTGAACACTGACCTTTTAAATTCAGTTTTTATCAAACTTACAACTTTATAGTGATCCGGGGCATCGTTTGGGTCAATAACTAGTTTCTAAGTAAAAATTTAACATGTTTACTTCCTAGTGTACTGTAGGTGTCGTTTGATGAAGTGTGCCTATCTTAAAATGTGTGAATAATGCTTGAAAATTATTGAAAGTGGGAAATGAATGTTATACAATACGGACATATAAGTAGGGAGTTGTTGACAAGTTTTTTAGGAACAAATTTGCAAAAAATAATCCGCGAGATAATTTTTAATCACGTGATGACATGTGTCATTTGATATTCGCCTTTAGTATAAATTTATTAATTTATTAATTATATAAAAAAATGAACTAAATGCAAACACCATTATCAACTTTTTCTTACTATTAAGAATTTTTTCACCATAAACCCTTGAGTTTTTTTTTTTTTTTTTTTTTTTTTTTTTTTTTTTGTTTATTTACCATTTACCCATGAAGTTTTTCAAATTCATTATATACCCCTGAGTTGTTACAAAAATTCACCATGTACTTCTAATGATAACAAGATGAGTGGAATTTGATTAATTGTGCATCGAAACCTTAAATCTCTCCCTCCATCCCCAAAACCACATACTCCTCTCTTTTGTCCAATCCCTGAAACCTTTCCAAATCTTTATGACCATATCCGTATGATCGATTTTGAGGATGATAAAAAAGATATTTTGGGTGGTTTAAGGGTGGGAAAAAGAAATGTGGGTGATTTCAAAGGTAAGGGAATGTATTTAGGGTGGTTTCGGGTCATAATTAATATAATATTAATGATTGACAAAGTTCACAATCATTAGTCTTTAAGGGTATATGGTGTATTTTTGTGAAAACTCGAGGGTATAGGATGAATTCAAAAAAGTTCATGGGTATATGGTGAATAAACAAAAAAACTCAGGGATCGATATATGGTGAAAACCCCGTAATATTAAGTATTAGTTTTTTATCATAGAAAATACTTGAAATTTTTTTCAGTTACAATCGTTAAAAGTATCTATTTTACGAGTTACAACCATCAAAGTTAACTTTTGCAAATTACAACCAAAAAATCACCAAAAGTTTTAAATTACAACCAATTAAAATTCGATTTTCAACCACTTTCATGAGAATATAACGTCATTAATCATTTATTGATATAAAAATAACGCCTAACCAATAGTCAATACTAGTTTAATTTGGAATCATTTATTGATATAATGAAGTCATATTCTGTTGAAAGTGGCCGAAAATTGAATTTTGGTTGTAGTTTAAAATGTTGGGTGACTTTTTTGTTGTCATTTGCAAAAATAAACTTTGATGGTTGTAAGTTTGTAACCTGCAAAATGTGTCTTTTACCGACTGTTATTGAAATTTTTTCCTGAATACTTCCATTCAAAAAAATTAAATGTTTATCAATTAATGAAATTTAAGATCGTCAATTTTGTGTTTCCTTAATAAATATTTCTACATGAAGAAAATAATCAAATTAGGATATAATCTCATTTTATCCTTTCTAAAAGTTTAAATAATATCTTCCATATATGTTAAGAATTTTTTTTTGAAGGCTACATGTTGAAAATCTTTAATTTCCTAATAAATATAGATTTTCTTTTATTTCCTTACATTTAAATATCTTTATTTTATGTTAAAAATCTTAAATTTCCTAATAAATATTATTTTATTTTTATTTCCTTACATTTAAATATCTTTATTTTATGTTAAAAATCTTAAATTTCCTAATAAATATTATTTTATTTTTATTTCCTTACATGTTACAAGCCACATGTCTCACATGCATTCTCATCATCTTTGACCACCACATAAGACCATGGAATCTTTTTATTTGACCTTTGGCCTTTTTGACTATATATACTCTCTTCCACTTTAAAATGTAACAATATCTTTATCACAAACACCTACATTCATAGAATAAAAACCATGGAAATTGAGAAAATGTACTTGTTTCTATCTCTTTTTTCAATTATAATCTTCCTTTATAAAATCCTTCTACCATTTAAAGCAGAGAACAAGAACCTCCCACCTAGTCCACCATCAATTCCTATATGGGGTCACCTACACCTACTCAAGCCCCCATTTCCCAAAACATTGCAAACCCTTTCTGAGCGTTATGGCCCAATTTTCTCCCTTCGTTTAGGATGTCAGCCTCTTTTGGTTGTCTCTTCTCCATTGGCTGTCGAAGAATGTCTCAACCAAAACGACAATGTATTTGCTTATCGACCTAAGTCCATTGTTGGTGAGATTTTAGGATACAACTACTCGATCCTCATATGGTCCACATATGGAGACCTTTGGAGGAATCTCCGACGTGTTGGGGTCTTAACTATGTTTTCCTTTCGTAAGCTTAATGAAGGAAGCTCCACCCGAAAAGCTCAGATCCATAACATGATCTTAGAGCTTCAAACCGAGTCTGAGGGTGCATTTGGAAGAGTGAACTTAAATAATATTTTGAAAAGGGTGGCGCATAACTTTGTGATGAGAACAATAAATGAGAAGCCATGGGAAAATATGGATTTGATACCCTCTAGTCCCATGACAATGTGTGACTTCTTTCCCATCTTGAGGTGGATACCTTTCGGAGGGATTGAGAAAAATTTGAAAAAGCTTTGGAAGAAAAGAGATGAATATTTACAAAATTTGCTTGATGAGAGTAGAGAAAGTGTTAGAAGAAGATCATCTTATAATGAGGAAGTTGTGACAAAAAATTTGATTGAAGAATTACTAGACTTGCAGGAAGTTGAACCTGATTGCTACACTAATGAATTCATCAAAAGTTTCATTTTGGTAAGATTACTCTCTTTGCCTCTAGAATTACGTGTTAATTCCATAAAAAGTAATTAATCATGACAATTTGACCTTAGTACATGTCAATTCAATGCATAAATTTGATTAATACTAAAATGAGTACTGCCATTAATAATGTACTAGTTTAAATCACAAACTAATAAAATTATTTGGAAAATATATTACTTTAAATCACAAATTAATAATATTATTTTGGAAAAAAGTTGTCACAAATTTTATGTGGCAAATGATGTGGATGATAGAGATGGCAATGGATCGGATTTGGATCGGATCGGGTGAAGTTTCGCCCATATCCATCCCTTATTCTAATCGCTTCATCCATATTCATCCACATCCATTTCACCCATCATCCATACCCGCCCGTCCGTCATCCGAGGATGCAACGGGTGGCTTGGATGCCTAATGGATGAATATTAAAAGTGAAAAAATTCACATAAACTCTATTCATGGTTATTAATACAATAATTTTTAGCTCTATTTTATTTATCAAAAGGACACAATGTATTGCTTGTAAAAATTAATTTGCAACAAAAAAGTAATTTTCTTGAATATTTTTATATTAAAATTCTTAGATATAATATTTAATATATGTTAAAACGGTAGGTGGATGGTTAATGGGTGGAATAAAGTACCATCCACATCCATCATCCACTTCATCCATCACCTGCTTCTAATCCATTTAATTTGTGTTTTCGTCTATTTATTTAAAGCGGTGAGTCGGGTTAGCGAATATTCATTTAAGACTGACATCCTTAGTGGAGAATAGAAATAATAAAGTAGCAAAAAAGAAAATGGAAATAAATAGAATGATAATATTATTCTTTAGGTAAACTCCTTAACATACTAGAATTTTTGTAGGATAAAAAAAAAGTAACAAAAGATTTTATCCTAGTTTGCCACAATTTCCCTACCTTATAAAAAGTTTAAGAAAGCTCTTATAAATAGCGCACGAGCATTTATATCCCTAAAAAATGTTCTTTTACATATTTGCTCCTATTGAATTCAAAAACCTTAAAATTGTCTCTTCAATTTGCTAAGTAGATGAATTATTTGTGTTTATTTCAATATTTAAAGCATCATTTAGTCTCTCCATTTTTTTTTTGGAGTAAAAAATTGTATGATGACTTGGTTAATAGGGATATATATACAAATAGATATAATAAAATCGTACAAATATTTATAAGACATAAAGACCATTTGTAAAAATTCTTCTCGAAGGGCTAGCAACTTCGTGCATCTCGCGCGTAAGAATCCCTAGTTTATGAAAGATGTAGTAAATGCAATATTTATTTGTAAGGACAAGATTGACTATTGTTGTTGTTCGTTTTTAATATCCCCTTGTCATTATAGCTTAAATTATGGTCATCAATCATCATCATCACAAGTAAGGATGACTAATGGTTCATAATAAAAAACTGACATGCATTAATGTAGCATCAATAATGTGAGGGGGAGTGTAATATTTGTTGAAGTATAGACTAAATAAACAACAAATATAAGGGCCCCACATATACAAGTTAGAAGGTACTTATTTTGCTGTCAGCCTGTCACATGGCTTTGTGATGAAACCTTTTTGAACCGACAAAGTGAACTTTATTCTTTTGACAATGCAAATTTGTATCGCATATTGTACATGTAGCGTTAAAATTAATAAATGTGGTAATGTTATACTAGGAAATAATAAAAATTAAGAATTGATAGAGTTTCCTTTTATTATAATAAATGGACCAGAGGGAGTGTTACACACATATATATTAATAAATGTGATTATCTATGTCAGATGCAACTATTAGCAGGAACGGATACTACAATTTCAACAGTGGAGTGGGCAATGTCAAACCTCATAAATAACCCCGAAATAATCTCAAAAGCAAGGGAGGAGATTAATCTACTCATTGGCAGAGGAAGACTCGTAGACGAATCTGATGTACCAAAATTGAGTTACATTCGTTGGATAGTCAATGAGACTTTAAGACTTTTCTCGCCAGCACCACTGCTATTCCCACATTTCTCGTCCAAAGACTGCACTATTGGAGGGTTCCATGTACAAAAAGGCACTATGCTCTATGTTAATGCTTGGGCAATACAAAGGGACCCTAGCCTATGGGACGAACCAAACATGTTTAAGCCGGAGAGGTTTGCAAATGAGACAGAAGGTTACAAATTTTTTCCATTTGGAATTGGGAGAAGGTCTTGCCCCGGAAGCGCCTTTGCCACTAGAAACATCACTTTGCTTTTGGCTACACTTATACAATGTTTTGATTGGGGAACACCTGAGGATGGAGTAGTAGACATCACAATGAAAAGTGGTGCCAATATTTGTCATGAGGAAAAGCCTTCAGAGGTAATTTGCCACCTTAGGTCTTCAATGGTAGATGTCGTTGCTCAACTCCAAGTTAATTAACTATGTTTATTATTAGCTGGCTCGTAATATTGAGGGGTTATGTTATTTTAAAATTTGGATGTATGATCTATTTATATGTTATCTTTTACTTTATATGACTTTATTTATAAGTTCTTGTGTACCGTTAATTAAATAACGAACTAAGACCTTTTATATACTTACTTTATTTCACTTATTTCTAAGTATTTGTTTGTTAAATAAATTATCATATAAACTAAGATATGAGTTAATAAGGTTGCGTTCTTTTCACCTTACAAAAAACAAGTTTCAGGTTAATAATTTCAAATTAGGAAAAGAATACTACTCGTATTAGTATTACTATTTTTATTGTGCGTGCCTCATAGCTAATAAGATAATTAATTTGCACAATTTAATATTGACTCAATGATCATAATTGACTATTAACTTTTTTTTATCAACCCAAGCTTAGGCATGGAATCATGTACTAGTCAAGATTTTTATTAGTAGAGAAATTAGAGTAACAAACTATAGTTGTTAACTTGTTTTTAGTATCCCTCACATTAGTGCTTAATTTGTGGTTCATCATCATCACAAATAGGGCGGTCCAATGGATCAGTACAAGAAAAGACATGACTCTTATTAGACACGCATTAATGAATTGGTATTGTGATGACCAATGAAAAATCAACTATTCAACTCTTTATATAATCTAAATATATATTTCTCTATATATATTTATATATTTCTCTATATATATTTATATACTTCTGAAAATCAATTGCTATGTTTATTTTTTAAAATAATTTTGTAAAACTATATCAGATCAAGATATTATATCTTTTAATTTGTTGTAAATTAAAATTTTTCAATGTAACATTATTTATACACTAATGTTGATTTCATATATGAATCTAATATATATATGTAGGGAATATTTCAAGCATTATCCCAAACTTGAACCCCATTGTGATCATACACTTAAGTACGGTGGCGTCCAAAGGGAAAGAAGATAGAGCAAAAGAGTCGCCAACAAGTTTTAGGAGCTTGTAAACCGTTCACGGGGTGAAGGTTACACCCCTTAACGATCCAGGATATCGTCAACTCCAATAGGTCTGGAACCATGACTGGTAGTTCGGGGATGAAGGTACAAATCCAACCTAAAAGAGATCGAACCTTCCCTAATAATAGGCCTCTACTTTATTCTTCTCGTATTCATGTGCGCTTTCTGACTAACATGCAATCAATAGGTTAACCCTAAACCTGTTTAATCTATGTTGGTTGAATATTAATGCACAAACAAATCTATTATTGGCGATCAATTGAATTATAATCAAATTAAACCTAAACAAGATTATTAATTATCTTACTAAGCGTGATTACAAGTACCAATTCCCTTTAAACATGCATAAAAGGCGTGATCAAGCAATAACAATAAATATCAAGCAACATAATCATCATAATCATAATTGAAATAATCATGCTAAAACATAATAATAATAGCAAGATCCTAGGCATGATACTAACAAGATTAATAACAAATCCTAACATATCACTAAACTAAAGATCAAATATATAGCCCTAACATGATACTAACATGAATATTAGGAAAGAAAATAGGAAGCATCACAGGAATCACAATTGTCATATTTGATATTAGAAATTATAGTTGTTGCCCTAAACATGATACTAGGAAGATCAAAACACCCTAACATGACACTAGGAATCATAATAACAACCTAAACATGATTTCTATATCAATAAATCAATTAAAGTACTTACTTGGATGCCTCGCTAGTAACAAAATACACACGTTAGTAACTTCAAGGAAAATATAAAATCAAACAATTAAATTAAATAATTGAAAGAGAGATTTGGGACTAAACCCTTTGAAATTAAAACCTTTAACGTCTAGGGCGAAGGCAACTTCGAACTTGGCTAGGTGTTTCTAGATCTTGTGAATGCGGAATTTTGTATGCAAAAGCTAGTTTAGAAAAGAGAGAGAGAGAGGGAGAGAGAGAGAGAGAGAGTAATCAAGAGATTCTTGATGAGAGTTGGTGAGAAGAATTGATGGAAATTGATGATTGAAAACAGAGGTTTTAAGAGGCTATTTATAGAGAAAATCAGCCGGATGTGATAAAAAACGAATCAGAGTTTCAAAAAGAATAAAACACGATTGCAACGTCAAATACTCGCGTGGCGCCAAACGCCAGACATTAGCGCCAGGCGCTAAGCATTAGCGCCAGACACCAGGAGTGGCGCCAGACGCTAAGCCTTAGCGCAAGACGCTAATCCTGTCGTCAGGCGCTAGAAACAACTTTTGCGGATTTTGTTTTTATCATATCTTTTGATCCAGAAGTCCAAATAAGTCATATAATATGTCGTTGGAAATCTCTTGAATTCTACTTTCCAACCCAATTGAAATAAGATTAAAATATTTTGTAGATAAAAAGATATGGCCGAAATAGTGGAAGGGTGTCAGTTTTGGATAGAGTTTCATATTCCATTCATATCTTTTTCGTTTTAACTCGGATTTAATATTATAATATATCATTGGAAATATAATTTCAAGATCATATAAAATTTGGATAAATATTATGAGGCACGAAAATAAAATCTGAATATATTCCACTTCGTATAAAACAAGGATTCTAAAAAGGAGTAGTTTTATTCAATTTCAAACTCTTTGAAACATAATTATCAATCATAACTCCATTAGGATTTAAGAGAACCTTCTAGATTATTCTAGAAGACTATCAATCCTAATAGATTTAGGAATGATAATTAATAATAGGCCCTCCTCTAGATCATTGGGCCGCATATAAAAACCAAATCGGGCCCAGTTTAATATTTTGGCCATAACTTCCTCATTATTCATCGGAATTGGGCTTATAATATATCTTTGGAAAAGGTCTTTTCAAGTCCTATCCAACTACACCATATTGGACCCTTATCATGGACCAAAATAAACTGGAATGCACGTTTTTCATAAATAAGGTAAGAAAAGAAATATTTTCAAAAATAGAAAGAAGAGATATTTTAATAAAAACATCCTCATCACTAGACTTTTCACACTTTCGCTTAGTTCGATAATCAAATGACATGAAAGGTATTCATCACTGGGTTTGGTTTTGGGGAGACACATTTGGGTGTCTACAATATACTACCTCCATTACATATTATTTGCAACGATTTGACATAAAGTAGAGAGGAAAAATGTCTAATCGTTGCAAATAATATGTAATTGAGGTAGTATATAAGAAGAATTTTTTCCCGAGTTTATAGAGAGTCATACATAAGATTTAATTTTTTCAGCGCGCCACGTAGGATAATAAATTTTAGTAGTAGCAAATTAAATACGAGTATATTAGTTTCTTTTAAAATTAAATAACTTAAATGACACGTAAGCAAAATTGGCGAATGAGATTTTCCAGTTTAAATTAATTAAATATAAAATATTATCTTTTGATATCAGGAATTTTATCTAAATCTATAACAAATTTTAGCATATATATATATATATATATATATATATATATATATATAAATTATTTTAAAAAATTCAAATAACCCGTGCATCGCACAGGCTTAATCTAGTATACTAGTATATGTGTCGTTTGAATGTGTCTATCTTAACACGTGATAGGAAGTAGAAATTAACTAGTAAAGGGGAAAAAAAAATATATATAAATTATTTTAAAAAATTCAAATAACCCGTGCATCGCACAGGCTTAATCTAGTATACTAGTATATGTGTCGTTTGAATGTGTCTATCTTAACACGTGATAGGAAGTAGAAATTAACTAGTAAAGGGGGCAAAAAAATTAGGCAGCTCCTAACATATTTGCAAGGATCTTGTAAATCATTCATGGATTATTTAAGGCGACCACGAAAAGGCTAAGAGTTAAGATCATAAATGGTGTCCAACATTTTGGAAATTATTGTGTTTGGGGTCTAACTATTTTTTCTTAGTGTTTGGGGTCTAGATTAGTTTTTCTAGTGAGATTTGATTAATTGTGTGCAAAAAAGTTAGACCCTTCTAGTTAGCCAATAAAAAAATCTTTCTTCTTTACCAAAAAAAAAAAAAACCAATCAAAAAATTTGGACCCTTCAATTTTTTTAATTTATTTTTTTTATACAAAAATCTAGTGTTGTTTAGTTATAGTGATATCATTTCCTATATTGTACTTTTTATTATTAATTTAACTTTTTTTGCAGTGTAAACATAGTAAACTTTTAAAATACATATTTAGATAATTAGTCCATTAATAGTAATAATTCAAGCTACATTTCAAAACTATGTAATTTAGAATAAAATAAATAAGTTATGTTATATTTCACAATTTTGTAGAAAAATTTTCACTAATTGATATTAAAAGAAGAACAAAGATCTATTTTTGAGGAATTTTTGTGAGTTTTTGAGTGCAAGAAAAAATAAAGATATGATCTTGGATCAAGATCTAAGCTAAAATAATCAACACCAAGATTATCTAGCAAAATAACTTGATTCACTAGTCACATAGTCTAGAAAAACAAGGGTTTCAATCTAATCAACCACAAAGTTTGATAAAGATTGAGATTTTACCACAAAGGAGAGATCACAAAGAACTCAAAGAAGAGAAAAATCTCTCATAATTTCAATATTCAAAACAAGTCTCTCCTATTACATCATAAAGTAACTCCTTTTATAAGGAGGCACTAGTACATGATCGAAATAAAACCCTAAACCTCATTAAATCTAAACCATACAAAATAAAAGGCTAGGATTAATAACAAGATAGTAACTAAATAAATACAACCTAAGTCACATCCCACTTACGAGGAAAATCATCTAAATAATTCAAATCAAGCTCAAATATTTTCCGATCTTGATCAAGTCAACAATAGTCAATATGGCCAAAAGTAGTGTCTATGCTCTCGCATCAAGGAGGTAACATCAAGCTGACATATCTAACGAATGGAGATGTCATTTATTGAAAGCAAATAAACATCACTCGCAACCAAGAAATATCATCAACGGACCTCCCGGATCAAACACCCAAACAACAAATCCAAGAGTGAAATGACAAGGAACCAAAGCGACTTCCACAAAGCTATATCCACCTTCGGCAACTCCAATCTTACTCTTAATCCTCCTACATAACTGTCCCTGACAAGA